GATTTATTGATTTAAAGCTTAAATAGATGCGCCACCCTGTATATGCATGGCACAGTTAAAATCTTTAGGACGATAAATGTCGTCTTGCAACACTGTCTGAAATGTAAGTTTGCTATTATTCTCAGGAATCGTCTCTGAACCGCAAACACCTTCGATACATGACATGAATGACCCCGAATCAGTATGCAGTATTGCAAGTTTGATTGGAAGTTAGCATAATAGGCTGTCATTAAAGTCGATTTTGTGACGAAGGTGTTTAAACTACGTATCATATATGTTATTTTAGATAACTTCTTTGATAAAGAGGTGATGTGTGATTCCCACGTTAAGCTGTCTGATAAATAAGACGCAATTAAGGACAGGCTGTTATTACTAAAACCATATAGCGACAACGTTTGAATCAAAATGTGATGTTGGACACAATCAAATTATTTTGTAAGATCATAGAAGTTAGCGGGAGCAAACATGTTATCTTCCAGACATTTGTTGATGAAACTAATAAAATCGTTCACTGCTGCTTTCGTTGATCTGTTGGTACGGTATCCAAACTGGTTGTTACAGAATAAATTGTTAGCTTCGAAGTATTCACATATCTGATTCTTCAGAAGTATTTCGGAAATTTTTGCTATAATTGGTATTATAGAAATGGGTCTGAAATTACATGGATCATTCTCACGTCCTTCTGGGTGAAAGGTTGAGAAACGCTGGTCTAATGTGGCATTTTGTTACCTAAATACGCAACTTTTCAAATTTGAAACACCCGGTATAAGGAGCTAGTCAAATTAATTTAAGTGTGCTGTCTCAAATTTAACAATGAACACCTGAACTATATGTTTATGAAAAAAAACATTTTTGAATTACCCTTGCAAAAAAACGTTTTTTTTTTCAGTAAAGCATCAAGCCACATTTTCAGAAATGTGTTACATTTTTTCTATTGTATTGTTACTAAATCTTTGTTTCTCAAAACATAAACCTAATCGAAAATAAACAAAAAGCGTGATTTCAGGGTTATCGTATAGTGAACAAAGCAAATTACAGCGTATTCAGAATTTGTGCGTCAGATTTTCTTGAGTAATACGAAAGTTTGATTACTTACATTTCTCATAAATTTAAGGAGCTTGGTATTCTTCCGATTAAAGGCAAATATTCCACTTGTTGACACTCACACATAAAGTGTTAAGCGGGAATTACATTACGAAACTAGTGGTATGAAACTAGTGTCATGACAGTAGTTTCATCAATAGTTTCACGTGTAAATGTTAAGTTTCACAATGCGTGCATTACTTTCATGACACCGATTTACTTTCGTGCGGCGCGCAATTTTTGAACGACACTAGTGTTATGCCACCAGTTTCACGATGTAAACGTGACGCGAATGTGCGAAACTAGTGTCACGACAGCGCTTCAGAGTGGATGTGTGTTTTGTGGCCGTGCACGTGCAGATTGTGAAATCGTGAAATATTCGTTACAAATGGCGAATCAACGCTGGACAGCCGATAAAAATATACAGTTCATTAATGAATACCAGCGAAACGAGTGTCTTTGGGATCCAAAACACCCTGACTACAAAAATAGAGATGCCCGAGACGCGGGGTACAAAGCAATTATGGAGGTTATGCAGATGGAAAGTGTAAAAGATGTAATTTGCAAAATACGAACACTTCGCAATACTTACAACAATGAAGTAATGAAGACAAAAAAATCTAATACTACTGTTATGGCAACCGATGAACAGTATATCTCTAAAATACCATGGATCCCTCATATGGATTTTTTAAAAAATACTGATGGTTATGCCAGAGAAAACACAGAAAATTTGGTAAGTTTTTTATTATCAGCTTCCAATATGATTTTGCATTTAATAAATCATCCTATCTTGCCATTCTAAACGCCCTTGCCCAACAAAGTAGTCAGTATAATGCTCGCGTATCCGGTGAGCATTTCTCGAATGGTTTCCACTGAAATTACCCAGTGGCCTAAATGAGTTCTGTGCTATAGTACGCCATGATCCTTCCACTAAGTCTCCTGTTTCTGAGTTTTCTTCATCAATCAGTCCTGGCTCAATGTAGGTTGATGATCGGGTCTTCAGCCAGTTATGCAAGACACAACATGTCTTTATAATTTTGTCCACAGTTTCTGGGAGTAGAGCAATAGGCTTTTCAAGTATACGAAATTTGCTAACCAACACTCCGAAGGCATTCTCTACAGTCCGGCGAGCTCTGCATAGTCGGTAGTTGAAAATTTTTTGTTTTTTCGATAAATTTAGTCGACGACTATATGGTGTCATAAGATAGTCAGTGAGAGGAAACGCCTGGTCCCCCAATAAAACCATTCCTTCAGGGGCGTTCAAAGACATTTCCTCCAACTTTTTTTTAAAATTTGATCTGGCAAATACTCCTCCATCAGAAGCTCGACCATAGTGGCCCACATTGATATACCTGAATTTTAATTCACTGTCGCAAACTGCTAGGAGGACAATACTGAATGTGCCCTTATAATTATAATAGTCACTTCCAGAATGTGCTGGACATCGGATTTGAACATGTTTGCCATCGATTGCACCACCACACATTGGAAAATTACATTTATCATTGAAGCCATCCATTATCTCCCTCCAACATTCTTCTGTGTTTGGTACCTGTAAAGAAAATTCAAAATTTAATTATTGTTTTAGACACCCAACACTGCTTCACAGGGTTCAGCTTCAGGATCCAGTAATGATGAGTTTACCATACCACGCACACCTACAAGAAACAAAAGGAAAATTGCAGATCCGCTACTTAAAGCGGTACATACATTGGAACAGATTTCCTCGCAACACGTGCCTAATGCAGGCAATGATGAGTTTGCACTGTTTGGGCAAACCGTAGCTCAACAGCTACGACAGCTTCCTCTGGAAATTGCTTTAGAAACAGAGGAGATAATTTTATCAACAATAAGAAGGCAACGAATCAGTTCTTTGAAGCAACAGTCGTTATCTCAACGCAATTCATCGCCACCAAGACCAAAGTCCACGGCTTCTGCCAGTAGTGCCATCAATAACGATAAAGAAGATGCAAATCCCACTGGTTACAATAACGATGTACTTTCTCAAGCTATTGCCAGCATAACGGAGAGAGAATTGGACTTTGATGAGTATTTTTAGATTTGAGTATCTAACTTTTCAACTGTATTAAATAAAAATGTTTTGCTTACCTGAATGTAGTCTTTTAATGCTTCATAGATTGCGATTAGCACATCAGGTAGAAATTTTGATATACTACATGGTGCCACTCTAAATTCGTATGACAATGACTTCAAACTATTCCCAGTTGCTAGAAATCGCAGCGTAATTTGAAGTTTTATTTTTGGTGTCAATGCTGCTCGACATGTCGTATCCTGCTTAGTGACTTTGTCAGATACTTTATCCAATAAAAAGTTGAAGCAATCTTCACTCATTCGAAAATAGTTTGTATAGCTCTCAGGATCTTCATCTGCTAATTCGGAAATTAACTGTACTGCACCCAGATGTCTCCTTGCTACCCATCCTCTAACCCACCAACGCTTTTTCTTTCGAGCCATCCTCTTTTTCAGTTTATATATCAACATCTGTATGACAACATCTTGAACTGCAAAATACAGCTTCGATGCTGACGGCGCCATGATCACAGCGATACTGTCGATTTCACGACACTACGAAACTACTTGCACATGAAATGTTGGTGAAATTAATGTCATGACACTAGTTTCATACCACTAGTTTCGTAATGTAATTCCCGCTTTAGACACTAAACAACCACGATATTTGCGTAAGAGGTTAGCAGGATGTAGCGGCATAAATCAACTGAATACAAGGAATTGAAACAGTGGCGTAGCAAGGGGGGACGGCGGGACGGTCCGCACCGGGTGTCATCTTTTTTGGGGTGACACCCACCCGATGACTCAACTTTAAGAACAATGTACAAACAGAAAAAAAATTGCTAGTACAGCTGTCTTCTTCGGTGATTCTTCCTCAAACACTAGTTCAGGTCTATGTATAATTCGGGACTTACCCCAAAATCATATTGCAACAGAAAAACGACTTCTTCGTAAAAAACGGGTGGTTGGTGAGATGGCCAGTGATGCAAGACTCACGCTGAAAGAAGAAGTTTAAAAAGATGTGTTGGAATGTCTTGACCGATTCAGAGGTGAACTACAGACAAGATCGAAGCCTCTTCAAGACCTAGCTTCATTGTTCGACATCGCACAAACAAAGACTTTCCTTTGGGCGAATACTAAAGAACCGAAATCAGATACATTCAAATTTACTGATTTTCATGATGATGTCTCAGAAACAAAAATACTTTTGGGGATACCAAGACTGCGAAGACACTTAAAAGCCGCTAATGTTACAGTTTCTGATTGGGTATCTCTAGTTTTTTTAAAATTTATTCTCTTCCAAATCTTATGATTGCACTAAAATTGTTTTAATAAAAAACTATTTGCGGGCAACAATGACCCAATCGCGGCCTAGCAATCTTGGTATATTAGCCATCGAACACCAGGCAATACGAAATATAAATTTTTATGAAGTTATTTCTGAGTTTGCCGCTGCCAAAGCTAGAAAGAAGAGATCTCAATTGTATTTTTTTTCTGTCGTAGTTTTTATTGGGTTTTGTTATTTGTCGTTTATTTTAAAATAAGGAGTATTCTTGTAATTGCTCATATTTTTCTGTGTTGTTAATTAATTAGTGATCATTGAATAATATGCATACATTTCTATTAGTTCAGTATTATATTATATTTTTTCAAAGGTTAAGTTGGCATTTCGCATTTTTTGTACTTTTGTACTAAATAAAGCCCTTTGTTATTCTTATCATTCTTACAAAAGCTTGTAACTGTAGAGTGTAGATTCCTCGAAATAAAGCCAGTTCTGCTTGATACCTTATCAAACGGTCAAAATTCATAAGAATCCAAAGAGACATAATTTTTTTTTGACAATTCCTAGACCTTTCTCATCTTCTAGATCATATTTTTTTCAGGATGCACTACTCGGTTCTAAACCTATATTTCAAGACAAACCATATCGAGACAAGGGAAAGAAACGAACTGTACAGCTTGTCCGATGTGATATCCAATTTTGGAGGCCTACTAGGACTATTCACAGGATTCTCGATTTTATCCGCTACAGAAATTGTGTATTTTCTATCGTTGAGAATCTGGGGAAACATCAAATTATTTGGCCACTGGAGCGGACCAGTACAGAATTAGATTTGGACATGGAGCTTGCATGGAAAAAGGAAAATAAAAATGTGTCTCAGAATACTATCAACAAACCCGGATCATCTTCAGATTTGTGTTGGATCTGTCGCTTTTTGTAAATAAAATAGTTATGTGCAGATATTTATTTTAATTGTATTTACTTATAGAACGAACTGTATTTATGTTCAAAAAAGACGTCAAGTAGGTTGACTCGATGCTTTTCACGCAAAGAGGCCATGGGTTGAAGGTCTATGCGCTGGCAGACATTTTATCACTATTTATTGAAGATTGAGTTTTGGACATGGTTGTTACTCTTCATTGTTAGCAAGCCTAAATATAATTATTGACTCTGATGCGAAGAATGTAACATACCTGCAACTTGAGATAATACTTTTTTTGAATGCAGAAGATGTTACGAACAACGTAAGCGATTCTTACATAGAACTTGGACTGTTGGCATATACTACACCTACAATTTAGTATGCATTCTGTCTAGGAACTTCCTATACAGGCTGTTCATTTGAAAACCTCCCACCACGGATTTATTGAAAACCACCGATTAAAAGAAAAAAACGTCGAGACTCCTAAAAAGATTTGCCAAGGGGGACAACTTTTTAACCAAAAACTACTTCACCCCCTTTCACCATCGGCCCTCAGGGTCATTCCCTTAAACATTTTAAACTACAAGGGGTATCTAGTAAAAATCTGTATTTATCTCAGTTTGTTTAGATAGAAAACAAAAACACACGAAAATATCACTTATTATTTCAATAAGTGTTCAAAATGTTACCCGTTACGGTTTGCCAAATCTACAATTCGTTTATAATTTAAAACGGAAACTACCAACATAAACAGCAATTCGGAAGATTAAACGTGGCAACAACCAAATAACAACCCGATTTTTTTCCGCATTCTTTTCATCAATAGATATTCTGGGCGAACTTATTGAAATAAAAAGTGATATTTTCGTGTATTTTTGTTTTCTATCTGAACTAAGATAAATAAAAAAAATCGAATAGCTTGAAAACGAATCGACCGATTTTAAAAAATCAAACGTCATAAAAAAGAGCTTCAAAATACTTTTCAAGCCAGCTATTTCTCAATACCCCTTGTCAATTAAAATTTTTAAGGGGATGACCCTGGGGCGCAGATGGTGAAAGGGGGTAAAGTATTTGTTGGTTAAAAAATTGACCCTCTTGACAAATCTGTGTCTCGGCGTGTTTCCTTTTAATCAGCGGTATTCGATAAATCCGTGGTGGGAAGTTTGATCTATAAGAGAATTTATTAATCCTGGCGGTCCTAATAAGAATAATGGTAAACTGTTTTCAAATTATTGCATTGACATCGGTCCTTGATAGGTGTGCGAAGATTCAAATTAATCAAACTTTTGTAAATTGGTGGAAATTATGCTCAAATATTCCATTACATACATACATACATACATGCATACAGGTCAGGCTTATAAAAGCGTGTTAAAAAGCCTGCTCAGTTTCAGACATGTTTGGAAGGGATGAAAAATTGTTAGTTGGAATCTGGATTTGACTCATAACTTTTCATTTAAACCTCCAACGAAGGCGTAGGAAGTATAGACTCCATCTACTTGGCGACATTTTTTGGATGCCAGAACACAGTATATGGTATGTAAAATGAACTCCCACTCCCAATTTTCTCTCCCTTAAAAATATTTTTTTTATATCGAAGCAGCCGCGCAGGCAGAAGCCTAAATGCCGGAACACCGCGGCTGCTATGATGATCTCAAAGAAATTTTGTTAATACGATTTTTGAACTGCCTAAGGTTAATAGATCTGTGAAAAGATTCCTCTTGTAGATTGTTCCACAATCTCGACACCCTCGGGACAAAGGAGCGGTCGTATCGGCCAATTCTGGATGTACGAAGTTCGACACGGTTAGGATGGGACGCCAAAGTCAGACGGGTCTGTCTGGCAGGCACGTCGCGCGGTGGCATCATGGAAGAGAGCTCTGAGGAGCAAAGCCCGTTGGTGTAACGGTAGAAAAGAGCTAGATCGCCGACAGCCCGCCGAGACTCTCTGTTAGAGAAGAATCATCGATCAGTCGGACCGCCCTCCTCTGGACAGCATCGAGCATGGATAATGTAGTCGGAGCGGCAGCACCCCAAACGTGTGATCAATATTCGAGGCCAGGCCTTATCTGGGCCTTGTATAGAGTTAGAAGGTCATGCGGAGAAAAGTACTTCTTAGCCCTAAACAAATAGCCTAGCTTCTTCCCAGCGGCTGCAGCTATTGACGAGATGTGTTCGTGCCAGATCAGGTCCTCGGTGATCTGGACTCCGACCAGCCGACATGAATGGCTCTTTGGCAGAACTCGGTCATCCATCGAAACCGGGTGAGCGCAGGGACGCTTTTTGTTCGTCAAAGTACAGTACTGTGTTTTGGAAGCATTGAACTGTACAAGATTGTTGCGTCCCGAAGCAGTGATAGCCTCCAGGTCTCTTGTCAGAGAGGAAGTCGTCGCTAGTCTTCTTTTTTCCAACTGAGCGGCAGAGATCGGCTTGTCACTCTGAATTCCTGCATGTAAAGTGCTGTCATCAGCGAAGCTGTGGATTGGGTTGATCGTGCAGGAAAGGAGGTCGTTGATATGTAAGAGAAACAGCGTCAGAGCCAAGACCGAACCCTGGGGAACACCCGCGTTGACGTTGTGGGATGAAGAGGAGAACCCATCAACTACGACGGATATCCTGCGGCCAGAGATAAAGTCAGCCACACATCTGCAAAACTTTTCTGGGAGGCCATAGGATGGAAGTTTGCTTAAGAGGGCAGCGTGCCACAGCTGATCGAACGCTTTCGTGATGTCAAGAGCAACGACATAAGCCTCACCATAAGACTCCACAATTGAGTGACGTAAGCTAAGAGGTCCCCTGTGGATCGTTGGTACCGGAAACCATACTGCCTGTCGCTAATCAAGCTGTGACGTTCTAGGTAGTCCAGAAGCTTGCGAGTTATGCACCTCTCCATCACCTTACTTAAAACAGAAAGTAGAGCTATAGGCTTGTAGTTGTAAGGGTCGGTCTTAGATCCCTTTTTTTGGGATGGGTTGGACATGAGCAAATTTCCAGTTTTCTGAGAAGGTGCCGGATTCATAAGATATCTGGAAGAGACGCGAAAGAACTGGAGCAAGCTCCGCTGCACACCTTTTCAGTACAATGGCAGGAATCAAGTCCGGACCAGAAGCTTTGTTGATGTCGAGCGACAAGAGCACTCGTCTTATGGTCTTATGCCTGAATGTTACCTCCCGCATAGTATATGGAACCCTTTGAATTGACGGCACTTGGGCGTTGGGGGGGACGTCCATGGTGGAGTTCGCAGCAAAGATCTTGGCTAGCACTTCCATCTTGGTTTTTGAGTTGAATACACTAGTTCCATCCTGACACGTAAGTGGTGGAAGGCTACTGTGTGAGAAGTTCTTTTAATCTGTTTGGCCAGCGTCCAGAAAGACCGACTGCCATTGCGCTGCGACATTACCCTGTGCCTAACTTTTATATCGTACTGGTTTTTGGCATTGCGCACTGCTTCTTTATATTTGTTTCTGGACTACGTCGGCTTGTCTGTTCTCTACAGTGGGGTTTTGTAAGAAGGTTCTGTGTGTCTTGATCTTCTGCTGGCGAGCAGCGTCACACGATTTGTTAAACCAGCCATTGGACCCTGGTCTAAGCACTTTCACTGTGTGAGGGATGTATTCCTCCATTCCGACGTGGATAATTTCGGTGATCAAAGAATAGACAGCCGACGCATCCGCGTCTGTGAAACAGACATCTTTCCAAGGAAAGCTAGAGAAGAAGTGTCTGAGCCCCTCCCAGTCGGCATGTCCGTAATTCCAAGTTTTGCGGCCTGTACGAGTTTCTGCTGCCACAGCGGGTTCTGACCGAAACCTAAACTCCACAACACCGTGGTCTCCCTCTCTGGGGGAACCAAGACCTCGACGTTGGTGGGAGGGCCCAGTAACCTTCAATATCCAGGGAGCGATGCCGGCGGTAGCGTAGCTACTGGTAGGGCCACCCATGCAGGTAAGGTCTCGAAGTGATGAAGGCGAAGCTAAGAAGGTTCCCACATAACGGCGTCTGACCCGGAGCGGGCGGCTGTTAAAGAACTGATGCGATGACGAATAGGCGATGAAAAGGACTTCGAGGATGGATCGGACTGAAACGCGACCGGAGCAAGTAGATGACGAACATGGCGATGACCCGGACAAGCTAGGGAAGGATACCCTTCAAACCAACCATGGTGGCATGATGGCAAATCTAAACAAAGATTTACCCCAGGAGGGTAGGACCAAAGGTCCAAAATCCCTCCCTGACCATGTAACCATGGCAGGCTGCCCCTCAGATTCTGGGGAGGGCAAAGAAACGCCAGGAATAAAGAGGATCATGGACGAAAGAACGGAGACGCCTTGTAGTAGGGAACACTGTGAGAACAAGGAAAGGAGGCTTTCAAACATAAGCTTGGAGGACATACGATACGGGTTTGAGGAACGCAAAAAAAACATGATTACAAATTGGATAGAGATTCAAAGATCCAACTCTGTTAGCGAAGGTATGAAATACGAGTTAACAAACCCGGAAATCTGCCCCAGCCAGTGGTCAAAAAAGAGAAAAATCACAACCGAGAGAAGTGAGGAGGTAACACGGAAAAAAGAAAATTCAGTAGTAGTGGACTTCATGGAAATGTTAGATATTGTGCAAAAGGCTGTGAAAAAGCTAAACGACACGGTCCAAGCCCACCAGAATACTAACAAGACCATAAAATATGTTAACCTGGACCTCAAACGTTTCACAATGTTCCTAAATAGAGAATCAGTCAAGCAACGGCTGGAAAAGGAGAGATGGGCAAAGGTGGAGCCCCAAACATTCGACATAGACTGTCAAACTTATCCGGAGACAAAGTCCGTGTCGACCCAGGCAGATTGGAAAGACATTGAAGATGAGTTGAAAAATGAAGCTCTAGACAGTGAAATGAAGATTCAAGATGCGTTTGAAAAAGACAGTCTGGAAAACCTAAAAACGATAGTTGATATGAAGTGGCCAACAGAAGTATTTAAAAATACCACCGTAGAAACAAGTAGTCTAGAGCAGATGGCGGTGTCAGGGGATCTAGCAGTTCTTCTAGACCCGAGCCAAAGGGTGCGAGATGAGAAGGCGGAAGCTTTGTTCAGGAAATTTCCGGCATCGAAGGTGCTGGTGGATGATGGATTAACGGAAGGTGAAGTCGATTTCGTGAAGGTACGTACAGAAGTACTTAGCAAGAAGGGAAATACTGGACACTGT